TTTGGATTTAATCATTCTTGTACTTAAATCATACCAGGGTTATAATGGTAATTTGTTGTCATTCAGATAACAGTTACCAAACAACATTATTTCATTCAGCACTTAACCATTCTGACCCTTTTAACCATTCTGACCTCTTAACTATTCTGCACTAAATCATTCAGCAACTGCCAAACAGCCCCTAAGTACTTTTTTAATATAGTTATTGGAGATGTTTGAATAGTACTTGATATATATATATATATACTTGATATATATATATATATATATATATATATATAAAAAGTTTATTGTAAACTAAGAATGAAAAACTAATGCACTGAACCACCATTCAGATGTATCACAACAAATATAAACTCACTTGAAGATAACAGATATATTAAAAAGGAAAGAAAACATGACAGATATAACTTTATGAAACCAAAACTCATGTTGTACTGTAAATAGCTAGAACTTGTTACATAAATAATCGAAGATCAAGTCTGATCGAAAAATAGAGAGAAGTTATTACTACATTTTTACGTGACCAGATACCAAATGGTTGGTGAGTGTCATCTAAATGGATATTGTTATAACGTAGATGTGTTATCTTCCTGTCATACTTTCTTTCCACGCCCTTGAGCAGGTTTTGTCCAGAATTGGAAGAAAATATAAATAAAATTCAAATGTATACATAATCAATATAATTTAAAATAAATATAATCAATATAACCACAAGAGGGTGCCTGTTTTGTTTGAGCTTGGACTTCAAAGGTAAAAAGTGACCGGAGGTCTTAGGTTCAAATCTAAGAAGAAATAAAAATCTTCTTGTGCCCACAGAGATTCAAATGCAGTGACTCCGGGCTACCCGCAAAGCAAGTGGTCGTCTTAGAATTAGTTGGTTCTCATAGCCGGTTGAATATCCAGGTTAATAAAAAAAATCAAGCAATAAAGCTTGAACTTCATAGGGTTTTTTTTATGGCAAATGGCTAATTTAATCACATGGGCCAACCACATGATTGGGAGGTTTAGAAGTTTTTTAGTCTTTAGTTTATTACTATATTTATTAAAATATTAAAAAAATCAAAATATTTAATTGTAATTTTGAGGATTCTAATATTTAATTATAAGAAAAAGTTAAATATTTGGAAAATCACTAACATAATATTTGTTATTTTTAATAAAAATAAATTTTATTAATAATATTTTTTAAATATAATAATTTTTTTAGTATATTTGTTTCATTTTATATATGTAGGTATTTTTTTAATTCAAAAAATGTTTAGAGACCCAATCGCTTAAAATATAAAAGTCCACTGGCTTTTTTCAAGTTTTTTTCATTATTTTACCACATTAATCAGTTTTATAAGTCATAAAAATGTATCTGACAAGTTTTAGAAAATTCAAAGAGTTATTTAACAAATTTTTGAATGTCTAATGACTTATTTGTTTCAAAAAATTATTGAATGATTTAATCATTCCAAACATTAAAGTCCATTAGGTTTTTTTTTTTTAATTTTTTTCCTTAATTATATTATTAAAATATCCCCGTGGCTAGGCTTTAAGGCCCGCTCCCAACCCGGCTTCAGGCTCATTAAGCCGAACCCCGACCGAGCTTGCTAAGCTTGGGTTTTCTCTAACCGGGCTTGGTGTAGGGTAAGACCAGATTTCAGACTTAGACTTTTTAAATTTTCAATTAAATTAGGGGAGTGCTAATGACACCCCTTTAGTAGGGGTGTGAAATCATTGGAAATTGTGCCGTCATAAACATCAAATCAATTTAATTATATTTAATTATTATTATTTAATATATATATATATATATATTAAGTTATAATTATATATATATATATAGAGGGTGGTTCAAATACTAACCCAATATTTTGTGCAAATTTTGCTAACCCACATCAACCAATAATGTTGCATCTTTGGATTTGGTTAAAATGTAACTTACATATTAATGATAAGGGTATTTAGGTCATTAGTCATTCTTATGTAACTCCCAAATATTTTAATTGGGAGTTACAAATCCTACAATATCTCAAATTGATCTTCATCTAATATTGACATAAAGATTCAAATATGTTCATCTTATTGACAACTAATTCACATATTAAACCACCTACAACGAACATCATGCACGAACAGATATAAAGTACAGGTATCGGTTTTATCTGCACAACCCCTGTTTTTGTTAATGTGCATGTCTCATCGTCGTGCATGTGTATCACTACGATCATGCATCAAGG